ACTGCCATAGACTGCAAATTGTTACTTCACGTCTAAGAACTGCAACAACTTCCTCTAATACAATCACCTTTTGGAAGGTCTGCTTAGCCAACATGTTAAAAAATACCCATGGCAGTGGCAGATATGTCGAAAGTGGCTTTTATTGCTGTTTTCTGATTGTTCGAACTCTTAAGAATACAGGTTACCTGATCATTACGAAACCAAGGGAGAAAGGCCCCCCTAATCATCTCGTATCAGTGTTTGCTTGACTGTAGGACCACAGATTTCTGAAAATGTCTCTGGACCAAAAGGTCAGTGGTGAGTTTCGTTTGGTGACAAATGAGGCTGTGGTGTTCAGTTAAAATCTACTAGTGTCGAATATCTCTGCATTTTCAAGAGCCTGGTAAGTTTTCTTGGTTTCGTTACCTACAGTGTGTCACTAGTGGGATCAGAGATATCGGTGCAGGGAACAAAGTGCTGATATCTGTGTAACACTGATAAATCCCCATTCATGCAAGGAATCACGGCTCCAGCACATGAGTCCACCTCTCAAGTACCTTTTCTGACTCATCATACTGATAGTATAGTATTATATTGGTGAATGGACGCTTGTTTTAAATATTCTTCGCAACCCAAAGATTTGAACAGAATAAAAAGTTGATCTAACTTGGAATTCTTCAAATGACCATATAAACACGCTTCACTTAACGATCTTACATAAAGTTCCTTCGACCATTTCTTTATGGGTATATGGAGTACATGAATCACGTGTCGGAAGTGACTGCTGTGTTGAACTTTCAACCAATCAAAGGTCCTTCTCGATATGGAATTATTCAACCTTATCTGTGTTACCGAAAGAAGTTTCAGGAGAAACCATCCGGAGATCACCGGTCTGTTGCAAGTGGGGGGATATATATAAATACAACACTAAAACTCTTTACTTTCATGCCGTACGGCTCTGAGAACCATTCTCTTATCTTCAGCTAGATAAGTACACTAAACAGGCTAATACTGACACCCTATATCGAATATCCTCCTGCTGCATACATTTGATTTCAGAGAACTGCCACATTGCGCATAGCGGTACACTAACATGGACGCGGTTGATATTCTCTCTGAAGTTTATTCGTAGGGTTTCAAAAGCCATACAGCTTCGAGACAGTAAACTCCAAAACCAGATAATTAATATGTAAATATTTAACATCCAGTGTTGTTGTGGGTTACCTCGAGTCCAATGTTCTTGCATCTCTATACTTTGGTACTAACCAACTCACGAATCTGAGAAACACAACTTCAGAGTCATTCTCCGGCAAAGGATATGCCGAAAAACGATCATAAGGGAAATCTTTTGTAACTGAATAACGATTTTGCCCAAATTCCCATACATAATGCTCGGCGAATACGGCTAATTCTAAGTACGAATTTAGAAAGTATTGAAGTTCCACCATTTATGCCTGAATACGCATATCGCTTGATATCTTGATGTGAGACTTCATGACTTTCTTTGCGGGAAAAAAGCTATAAAAAGTCCAGGATGTTTGAATAAAAGATGATTTTTCAGTTGAGAACCATTCCTAGACAGTCAATCTAATTGTTTTCAATAGAGGGAGACAGGAAGCAGGCAAATTTAAACTTTTGTTCACTGTTTTTGTCTCCTTCTCTCCTACATCATTGTTTCCAACCCTCTATTTTGCCCAAATGCGTGGATATGAAGTTCAATGACTGGAGTCCATGGACAGCTTTCTTGGGTTCCATTTAAGTGAATGTACAGTAATAATATTGCAGCAGCAAGTATACTCAAACATGAGATTCACACGGCTGTAATAGTCTTTAGCAACATACTTAATTAGGCAGTGCAAAGGATGGGCTTCATTAGATTTCATGCCAAGGAGCAAATGCTTCTCGAAAGTCCTACTACTAAATTAGGCGCAATAATATCTTTAGACCACCTGAGCTTAAAACAGAAAGTGATACTCTTTGTAATTACTACTCAAAACATCAGCCGAGACCTCAGGCAGTACAGAATGTCAGATGGACAGTGGCGAGAGGGATCAACTGGAAGATAGATTGAGGGAGATCAGAAACGTTCGTTGATTCGACTGGATTCCAGCCAATTCATTTTCAACGAGCAAATTGTGTACCTGTGCTGATTAGATCATGTTAAATACTATTGGGTTTCAAGAAATAAGAGCGTGTCTGCTGCGCTCTGGTGTGATTCTACATCTTAGTGCTCTCTTCTAACGACCGTTAATAAATACACACTTGGATGGATGTAAGGGCTATACTTTCACCACAGTAGTTGCGGAGCCATTAGGAGAAGCTCGGCCACCAGGTTAGGTGGAACAGGCTATAGAGTCATCATGTGGTGTGACGGAAGAACAAATTTAGTGGGACAGATAACCACACGACAATTGTTAGCATTATTTCTGGTTGAAGGTGGCCGGAGAAGATCTCGAAGTCTTGCGAACGGTGTAACTGATTGGTTTCTTAGATGTTTCAGAAGGACGAATAACTGTCGCCGCCCTGGTGGCACTTGTACTTGATTTTGTATACTGTTCATAAATCGTTTCCATCATATGTGTTAATAGCTAGTTAATAGCTAGTTACATTTGCTCTTTTTGTGCAATTTTCGTCAACAGACTCAGTTCAGCTGCGTTTCGACATTCGTTCTCATGAAAAAAGTCATGAAATCTCATAAAGCTTAAATGAATGTCGGAATAAGGTAGGGGACACTTTGGTAAACCCAAAGTACAGTTCCGGGATTCGGTGTTTATTCAATGCCTCTGGCTGATCACTTTTTTCTCTGTTTAGTAGCTTATTTCACGTTTTCATTAAATGCTCTGTTTATTTACATAGACAAAGCCCGTACCGAGATCGACCAGGATAAGAAGGAGGAAGGCAAGTACTCAGGAGTCCTAATTTCCTAATTGGTGAAGTCTGCCAAAAGTGTTAGTTGACCATTTCGAAAGAGAGGAAATACAATTCGTGGGTGTATGAATGTATAACAGTTACCGAAGGTCATCCAAAGCAGAGTAAACATTGGGTCAAGGGTCGCCTAACCTAACTACTAACGAAACCAAGTCATCATACGTTATCTTTTGGTTCGTATAACCTTTCCCTAACTTCTAAAGGAATCAACGAAAATATGTAGATTGCTTGCAAGGGAATATACCAAACCCAATTCAGCTCAACTACATGTGACATCAGTGATCGACATTCTTTCTGGGGATGCCTGGAATGAACCTAATATGCCACCTAAATTGAAGGAAGTAATAGGTATTACTCAGCAGATTATTGATGAAAATTGATTAGGCCATTCACCAATACAATTGGCACTCAGCATAATTTTGTTTGTGGTATGCTGGTGACAAAGATGTGAGTCGTCGAGCAGTAACGCCGCGACATAAACATTAGGTTAAGTAACAAGAGACTATCAGGGTGAACAGTTGCTTAAGATGAACTGGAAATTTCACCGCATCACACTTGTTCAGCAACCAAAAGGGTTCTGTGATGCCGCGTTTTCGGGGAGATCAATGGAGCATAAAAGTTTTCAATAATCACCAACACTTACAGTATTGACGCGGAACACGTGGTTTAAAGCATCAAAGCGATATATTCTTTGAAGTACTTCACTCTCCGTCTTGTCTTTTTCTTGTAGAGCAAGATTTATGTTTTCGAAATGATTCTTGCTGAGGGATTCGACGACTTTCCTGCCCCATAATTTTTCACCTGTTAGAAACTATGGGTTCGGAAGCAAAGTATTAATCGCTCACCAGTAAAATTGGTTGCTGTGGTGATCCATTCCACTCCTGAACTTTCTGTAGAGTGAAAGTGGTACTTGGTTTCAGTTCAGGATAACACTCGTCGTTATTCGGGTCAAAGAACTAAATATTCCATGTTAATCCTCGTAAAGACTTGAAGATTACAGTTAAATCACAATTATAGTTTTCAAGACAGAATCGTTTAACGTTAGGTTCCACTATATTCCTCATAACAAGCCTCTCACATTCGAATTCGGGGAAGTTTGATACAAGGATGATCTTGACTTCGGTTACCATGATTACACACTGAAATATGCGCCAAGATATATTCATAAGGTCGTTATTAACGAAAAGCCATGAAAGTGATTACAAATAAATGAGTGATATTTTACTAACGTTTTTTGAATAAAATGTCTCAGCAATGTGTATTTTCACTTAATTTTTTCTTCGAAGTGTTCCATGTTGTTTTACACAGTCAGTGTTTGACGCGGTCTTGAAGGATTTGTCAGCTGTAGCGCGTTTTGCTCGTGGTTGTTTCGTCGTTTTTTGTTGGTTAGTTGTCGGTTGTCAGTGTTTTATTTTTATGTAGCCGACACGTCTTCGTTTATTGTATGTATGCCTAGCGACATAATGTTTTTATGTTGTCTTCAGCATATATTGGGCCCACAGGATTGTCTGGCCTCTACCGCACAATCAAGAAGCGAGCTCAAAGAAATCACAGGTTTATACTAGCTCGTAATCATGATATTGGATATTGAACTTGAGTTCCTTTGTTTCAAAAAGTGGGATAAAAATGTCTTCGAAAGTCTCTAGTTAATACGTTTTCCAGATGGCACATTTTGATTAGGCTTGTGTGAAGCGGGTAGTTTTTTATGTATTAATTGAACGTAGATAAAACCCGGATATGCTGGAATTTGCGGATGGAAATTGAAGCTTAAATAACAGTGTGTTGACACCCTATACGTCCTATCTCATAATCATTGTATTAAATTACTTGAAAAATCTTTCCTAAATCTGACTTCGTATATAAGGGCACGTCATTATACTCCTGTCATTTGATATCTGTTTTCTCTGAAAACTAATTTTTGTTGTCTAACCAAAATGCGCGTGGAATTTAGATTTTCTTACATAGTGGTCAACGACTGGAACTTCTTACCTGATTCAGTAGTAACAGCTCCATCGACGAACGATTTTAAAGAGAAACTAGGTCTCTGCAGAGATATATATCGCAAAGGTTAACATAGGTGACAAGAGCCTTCTATCCTTATAATCTTAATCTGATCTTGTGTAAACTTGAATCTAAGGGAATTGTGCTCATTGCTTATCTTGTTTACAAATTTTACTGGACCTAATGGTCTTCTAGCTGTTTACGTTGACGTTATATTTCTCTATCCTTGAGTGTGTTAATCATACAGCAATTCCTTCAGTCATATTTTATAACTGTTTTGCATGAAGCTTAGTGGTCAATAATGATGAGGTTAAGTGTCGTGTTAGTTTTTTAGGGTAAGTCAGCTAATATTGTTATGAGTACTCACTAATTGATTTGGTATGGAAGCGCGTTATGCATAGCGAGCAGCCGCCAGTACCGGCGAGCACTGGTGCCTGATGTAGATTCAGGTCAGCAAAGGATGAAAGTTAGCCCAAACATTTAGTCACTAACCGTTGTTCTGAGCCATGTAGGAAATGGTGGACGCTTTTTAGCTGCTGATCTAGATGCTGAAGTCCTTTCGTGTTCTCAAGGTCTTGCATAGTGGTGCACATATATTCACTTGGTATCATATAGTTATTTTCTCCCATGCATTCTTCCTAGTTTCATTATGTTTCTCTTCTGTGTTTCCTTTCACTTAGGTAACGCAAACTTATGTACTTGTGTGCAGAGCTCGGCTTTGATTTGTTAGTCAATAAGCTCTAGCTGAAATTAGTGCTGAGTTATCGCAGAATGGGTTACTTTTCATTCCTTGGATGTTCAGTCTCTTTCCCCCGGAATAGTGCCGTTTTATTTATGTCATCATCCTGAATCTGTGGTTCTTTTCATTCGCGATTTTTTATCCATATGTTGAGGCCCAACAGATGTGCAGTGTCTAAGCACTCACCTCACTGAGAGTTGAGTATTATTTATTCAGACAACGGGCGTCACTAGTCAGAGCTTTGGCATCTCAAGCTATTAAAGTATGTTCTGTTTTGGAGATACATGCGAAAATCCTAACCCCATCTGGCAAACTTGGTGGATCTACAGAGATCACATTGGGTGATTAAGAGATTCTTCGACTGGTTTTCTTGGGTTTGTTGATGTAGGGATAACATTGAGTGCTGCGGCAGAAAAATCCCTAAGCCACCTAGTTTACTGCTGAAGGTGAAAACACTCAAATACTGTCGTTTTAGCAAGTGATTTCAAGGCTCAGTTATGGGAGTCGTGTCTGCCTAAAAGGTATGTTGCCGGCACATGTGGTCTTATGCTGACGAACCGACAACGGCAATGGTCCTTTATAAGTCTATTCAGACAATCATGTGTAACTGCTCTTGGCTATCGACCAAAGGGCGTGTGTACTGCTCAGTGCAGCAGTTCGCTCCATCCTCCTTTATGGCTGTAAGATATGGCCATTAAAAGTGGAAAATACGAGAAGGCTAGCTGTCTTTGATCATAGGTGTCTGAGTTCTATCCCCCGCGTGAAGTGGTATAATAGGGTGAACAATATTCAGGTTAGGCATCGATCGAGTGCTAGGTAAAGAGGGGGAAATCAATCGACAGGTTTTTGAAGTTACACCGACTGAGATGGTTAAGATATGTGTTACACATGCCTAGCCATCGATAGCCTTCCTCGATGGTCAATTTAAGCTGACAGGATGGATCAGGTCGGAAAAGATACAGTGGTAGTCAAACCAAAACATGGCTTCATCAGTTAATGAAATCTACAGCAGTTAGTTTAAGCTATATAGGAAGCGGTGAACTTCCTGGTCGGGGTCGTCGGGATAGTAAAAACCAATGGTAACTGGAGACAAATGGTGATACGGCTCAAAATCGTCCTCACTGCCTGGCGCAGATGCAACCACTCCTTGTGACTTAGTATATCAAATAAAACCAAATTGTTCTTCGATATTATTCTTTTTGCCTCATACCTCTGTTTCCTGTCTCTATTTTGCATTTCTTCTTACTTTCTTTTGCTTTGTGTGGTAAGTGAAGTGTGGGAACTCGAACTGCTGCACTTCGGTGCAAAGTTCTATGTTGAAACTAATGGGTCAGTTAGTCAGTCAACACCAAGGTCGAACGTAAATAAAGACATTGTCTTCTGGAACTCCTGTGTACACTCCAACACAGTAGTCCCTGCACATGTGTGACTATGACTGAACAGACATCGGAAACAGGCACCAATAAACCTATACACCCTCAACTTTATCAGAGCACAGTCTTTATATAGGGAAGAAATAACTAAACGTGTCTGAGATTGACAGCAAGATTCATCTTGAGAAAGCCTTAAGTAACACAAAATCAGACAGTGATAAAGACTGTCGATTACCTTAAACTAAGGCTAAGTGAACACCACTGAACACTTTTTGATTCACCCTAATTGATAGGTACGAGAAGACATTCTGGTGAGGAGGGAAAGCTGCTCAAACCCAGGCTGATTAAATGTCTTCTCAACTTTTGTGAACAGGTTTTTTTTATATTTATATCCATCACGGAAACAGGTTGTGAAAAACAAAGTTAGCAGAACGATCTCCGTGAAGAACGGTACTTCGGTTTCTTCTCAGGCCAAGTGACTGGCATGTCGGGGAGGGGGACAATTTGAGTAGCAGTTTAACTGGCCTACAGCCACGCCAAATTTGCCCAACACCCAACACCTATCTGATTGTGATATCGACATTGTTCCTCCAATTGTAACTGAGGTAGCAAATGTCGCCTCTGATCTGAAGTGATGCAAAGCTGCAGAACTTGATGGGGGTGGCTCCAGAGATGTCTACAGATGGTGGTGGTAAACTATTCTCTGAGGTTAACTAGGATCCCAACCGATAGCTGCTACCTTGACATGGTGGTCGGGCTTGCACATCGCGATGACCCAACAAGCTGCATTAGCTGGAACCAATGTTCCTGCAGGTCCTACCATGCCAGAAAAGTTGTTAGGATAGCGATTAGACTAAAGGCAGTTACTGGCGTCCTGTAAGAATCTTTCTTACACTATGCTGGGGGTCTGAGGGCGAAGTCGTACTGCTGGGGAACAGGGATGTAACAGCAGTGAGGTGTTTCCCTCAGTTGACCAGCATGCCAGATATGCTGTCTCTCCACTCCCGAGAGAGGGCGTTAGAAAAGGTCGACCCCAAAAATTGTGCATCCCGACTTACCCTACGGTGGTCTGTAACCGGCGGTAAGTTTACTAATACGGAACCAAGCCAAAAAACCAGTTCATACAGGCCGTGTATGACCGGCCTCAAGCAGTTTTTCCCTGGGCCTTGGGGTCACGCAACACTAACCCTGTTTCAGGCACCCGAAGAATCAATCAACTTCCACGTTGTGGGCAGCCGGGAAGTAACAACCGCCCACACACTTCCTGGTTAACTAGGATATTAGATGATGTCTGGAAATCAGAGGTGATACCGTTGGACCGTTGTAAATCACTGATTATCCCAGTTGCTGAGTAGAGGTAAATCTTCCTGTGATAATCATGGAGGGATCAACTTGACTAACAGAATCTAAAATTCTAGGTTCAACTATCATGCTTAGACTAAGCGGCGATCCGGAGAAGCAAACCAGTTAGTCTTTTAGGCTAAGACGAGAGTGTATTGACTGTATCTCCACCTTTTGACAGATTCTAGAAATTATTCATCCCTAACGGCATCCAGAGTTGTGTAGGTGGGGACACTCCATTGTTTAATTTCATAATAAATTTACTAGTGGATACGACGCTAATTTGCTTTAGCAACTTAGGGATGGACTTGTTACCAGGGAACAGTCTCGTCTATTTATAGCACGCTCATGATATTTTCCTTTCGTATATAGACAGTTTGTCTGTCTGTCTGTCTGGATTCAACATAGAACTTGGCACCGAAGTGCACCAGTTCGAGTTGCCACGTTCCAAATAGCACACAGAGGTAGACAAGAAGATGAGTGAAGAGAATCAATACAGTCTGACAAGTATAAGAGTGAAACAGAATGGGTAATGGTAGAAAGGAATATGAAAGATTACAGAGACTGAATACATCTGCACTGGCCATTGACAACGATTTTGAGCCATGTCACCTATTGTCTCCAGTCATTGATTCTTAGAGTCAGTCCCGAGGGCCCCAACCCAGAAGGGACGTGTGTACTGCTCATCAGTTCGCTCCGTCCTTCTCTATGGCTCTGAAACATGGCCAATACGCGTTGAAGACATGAAAAGGTTGACTGCTTTCGATCATAGATGTCTGCGATCTCTGTCTCACGTTAGGTGGTTTCACAAGATAAGTAATGTTGACGTTAGGCGTAGTGTGTTGGGCAAACAGGGAAAATCAATCGACGAGGCTATAAAGTTACATAGACTAAGATGGCTAGGTCACGTGCTGCGCATGCCTAACCACCGCCTCCCCCGACGGGCATTGTTAGCTGATATAGGTTCAGGTTGGAAAAGAGCCAGTGGTGGCCAAACAAAAACATGGAATCAATCCATGAAATCCTTGACAGTTAAACTGAGTCAGGTAGGGAGATGCAGACTCCCGGGTTGGGGCCCTCGGGACTCTAGGAATCAATGGCTGGAGACAATAGGTGACATGGCTCAAAATCGTTGTCAATGGCCAGCGCAGATGTATTCAGTCTCTGTAACCTTTCATATTCCTTTCTACTTTTATTACCCATTCTGTTTCACTCTTATACTTGTCAAACTCTATTGATTCTCTCCACTCATCTTCTTGTCTACCTCTGTGTGCTATTTGGAACGTGGCAACTCGAACTGCTGCACTTCGGTGCCAAGTTCTATGTTGAATCCAGACAGACAGAACCCAGAAGTCTGTATCTCCCTACCTGACTGACTCAGTTTAACTGTCAAAGATTCCATGGATTGATGCCATGTTTTTGTCTGGCCACCACTTACCCTTTTCCAACCTGCACCTATATCAGCTAGTAATGCCCGTCGGGGGAGGCGGTGGTTAGGCATGCGCAGCACGTGACCTAGCCATCTTAGTCTATGTAACTTTATAGCCTCGTCGATTGATTTTCCCTCTTTGCCCAACACTCTACGCCTAACGTCAACATTACTTACCTTGTGAAACCACCTAACGTGAGACAGAGATCGCAGACATCTATGATCGAAAGCAGTCAACCTTTTCATGTCTTCAACGCGTATTGGCCATGTTTCAGAGCCATAGAGAAGGACGGAGCGAACTGATGAGCAGTACACACGTCCCTTGGTTGATAACCGGATGTCACGCCTACGCCAGAGATGGTGTAAGTCAGCGAAAGCAGCTCGAGCTTTTCGGATCCGTGCTGAGATTTCATCGCCAATCAGTCCGTTGGTGCTAATACAACTTCCCAAATAGGTGAAGTGGTCAACATGTTCTATCACTTCACTCCCTATCACTAAGTTAGGAGTTGACGTAGTCCAGTCCTGTAGCAGCATCTTACATTTTGCAGGGGCGAATCGCATGCCAAACATACGAAGATTGCTGCTCAAGGTGTTCAGAAGACTCTGCATTTTGTCAGCATCCTCCCCTAACAGGACTATGTCATCTGCATATTCTAAGTCCATAAGACTTCCCTGGTAACAAGTCGATTCCTAAGTCATTACGTTCAGTTAAGGATACTTCCATCAGCATATCTATGATGAAGTTAAACAGAAATGGGGAAAGTGGACATCCCTGTCGGACACCACTGGTTGTTACCAATTCAGATGACAATTCCCCATAAGCCCTTACACGACTACGTGAGTTTGAATAGAGTGCCTTGATTAGTGCAATGTACTTTCTTGGCACTCCCTTCACAGTCAGACATTGCCATAGTACCTTTCGATCCACGGAGTCGAAGGCCGCCTTCAAGTCAAGAAATATGACAATTGTTGGACGCCGAAAAGTGTGTCTATGTTCTAGAATCTGTCGAAGAGTGAAGATATGATCTATGCACCCTCTACCTGGTCTAAAGCCTGCTTGATTTTCCCTTGTCTGTTCCTCCCGAGTTCTGCTTAGTCTATGCATGATTACTGAGCCTAGGATTTTAGAGACTATGTTCGTTAGGCTGATCCCCCTATGATTATCACACGAGGACTTGTTTCCCTTCTTGAATATCGGTATAATAAGTGACTTACCCCAGTCTGATGGCACTGTCTCTGATTCCCAGACTTTGCCTAGTACCTCAGTTAATCTACAAACTAGTATGTCACCCCCATATTTAAACACCTCCGGAATAATTCCGTCGGGTCCTGCCGCTTTGCCTCGTTTCAAATTACTGATAGCTTTTGTGACCTCACTTACAGACGGCGGACCAGTGTCTATATCCCATTCGGGTGTGTGGTGGATGTCGGGGAGGTTCAGTGTGGCTGTAGGCAAGTTAAATTGTTCCTCAAAGTGTTCTTTCCAGCGTTCAAGGCGTCTATCCTGAGAGCTAATTAAGGAGCCATTTTTCTCAGAAATAGTCTCACTTATGATTTGCCTTCTCCCTCCCGTTTCTCTGATGAGTCTAAAGAGTTGCCTAGTGTTGCCTATCGCCGATGCTTTTTCCATCTCTTTCGCCTTTGTCACCCACCACTGTTCACGGTCCTTGCGGAGACTTTTAGTAAGTTTCCTTTTGTGCAGCTTTCGCTCCTCATTGAATTCGGAGCTCGCCGGAATAAGTCTTCTAGCATCTATCAGTTCGGATGAGGCAGTCGAAATCCAGTGGTTTTTACTCACCTTTGGATTTGCCTTATTCACAGCTTTTACAGCTGTATCTATAGCTGACTGAATATTCTTCCAGGCTTCTCCAGGGTGAGCACAGCTGTCGAATACAGATATGCGTTTAGCTAGTTCTTCCTCAAATAGGGATTTAGTTTCCTGATCGAGCTGGGGACGTGATGGTTTTACCGCCAGCTGTTTCCTACGTCCGTTCAGTCGTAAGCACACACGAGCCCGGACCAGTGCGTGATCGGTATCTACACACGTGTTCCAGAAGGAGCGACAATCTCCTACCGACCCACGCCAACGATAGCTTATTGCTATGTGGTCTATTTGTGTCCAGCGTTGGTTTGATGATGGGGGTCGCCAGGTTAAACAGTGTCTCTCCTTGTGTTTAAAGTTAGTGCTTACAAGAAACAAATGATTATCTGAACAGAACTGTAGGAGACGGTCACCGTTGTCGGTTCGCTGGCACGGAACTCCATAGGTGCCACCGACATCCTTCTCAGATTGACACAATTTCCCTACTTGAGCATTAAAGTCACCAGCTAGAACGACTATGTCTGAGCGTTTAGCCTTACGCAGCAAACTAGACAGCTTTTGGTAGAACTCATTGGCGAGTAGTGCAGTCCTTTCTCCTTCTTACTGATCCGTTTAGACGGACAGCACACATTCGGCTATCTACCGGGATCCAGTCAAGTAATGTCTTTTCTGCCCTAGTACTCAAAGCTATCCCTACGCCAGCTAATCCTCGTGAACTGGCTGTGGCATCTCCTGACACCCTCAAGGTGAATTTTGAAGATTCATCCTGTTGGCCAGGTGGGGTTAGGTGAATAACCACACTTGGGTCTTGTATGCGTGTTTCTGAAACACAACATACATCAATGGCTCGGGATGCCAGGGTCTTGGCTAGTGATGCTTGTTGTCCTATTTGGTAAAGTGTCCTAACATTAAATGCTCCTATATGAAATTGGTGGCGTGGTTTTAGGAGATTATCCGTGGTGGTTTTTTGGCTTCCGTCGTTTTTAGTGGACACAGAGTGAAGAGGGAGTGAGGAGCCATCAAGTAGGGGAGTTGTATCAGTGGGAGGAAGGCAAGGCAATGGAGATGAAGACAAAGATAAGTGAGGATTAGAGAGGTTTTGTGTGCACTTTGGATTGTGAGGGCGTTTGTTACTTCCGGGCTGCCCACACCTTGGAAGTTGGTTTCGTGACCGCAGAGCCCAGGTGACAACTGCTTGAGGCCAGTCACACGCGGCCTGTTTTTGTTGGGTGTGTCTCAGTAGCATACTTATCACTCCTGCCCTGTGACACGGCAGCAGGAAGCGTGGTCGTTGTTAATCCGGGCCATGGCCGATCCGGCATGATATTTTATGAATTTGTTTGAATCATGGTATTGGATGGGGTAGCTGCTTTTTGTTTAAACGCTATCCAAACAACCTTTCTGGCATGGTAGGACCTCAAGAGACATAAGTCTCAGCCAGTATAGCTTGATTAGGTCATTTCGGTGTTCAAGCCCGACCACCACGTCAAGGTAGCAGCTTTCGGTCGGGAGACAGTGACGAAATGTAGTATTCTGAACTCCTTAGACTGAAGTCTTGGATTGTTTGGCATCTGAGCCACTCTCTGTCAAATATAAGATGATGCTTCAGGACTGGTCTGAACCTACTTTTTGTTTAAAGATAGGCAGTGAAACCGTTGAACGTGTTGAGCACTTCATCTATTTGAAAAATTGTATTAGCCAGAATAAACTGACTGCTGACGAAATCTCAGTATGGATAGAAAAGATTAGTGTGGCATTTGCCAACTTACTTCATTTCCGACATAAACGGAATAATATGGTTATCGACCGACGTCGTGTCTACTGCGAAGCAGTTCGTTGTTCTCATAGCTTTGAGATCGTTATTGAAATTAATGCTGAGGTGAGGTGTAGCGTGTTAGGTAAGAAGGAAAAGTTAATTGATGAGGTTCTGACTCTGCATCGATTGAGTTAGTGGAGGTATGACCTGCTGCTTAGAATCAGTATTCATTTTGAAGTCTAAAGATTTTGATGATAGCCAATGAAAGCTTCCTCGGCTCAATGGAATCTAATTCGCCCAGATACAATTGATCCTGCAGATTCGATTGAGTAATCACCATGTAATGTTTGTTGTACTCATTTTAAAATTAGCCTTTTTTCATTTCCATCCACTGCAAGAGCAATACACTAGTGTTTTTTGCATAGTTTATAATAATCCTTTAGTTCTTAATTATTTCATTTCTACTTACCCTTTTAGCCTATGAAGGAGATAAATGCTCATGTTGATGGAGAATCATCCTTGATTTCAGAGAATAAGCAACGTGGCGAAAATGGTATTGTATCACAGGAGTCATCTATAGCTCTGACTATTTTACATAATCGCACCAAGTATAATCTGACTTTCTCACCATCTACAACTATTGCTGAAGTTAAAAAGACCTTGGAACCTTTAACACATGTTCCTGTCGATATGCAAAAACTTATTTTCCGTGGAATGTTATCAGATACTGCCAGACTTGAAGAGTTATCTTTACCTACTAAAGATGCTAAGCTAATGCTGATTGGTACAAAACCTTCTGAAGCAGAACAAATACGCTTATCTGAAGCAAATAATCATGTCCAAGGGGATGATATATCGGATGAAAGTCGATCAGATGCAACACTGGACTGGTCTGAACAAAATGAACATAAACAAGTTTTAGAACGCTATGGGAAACCAGAAAATGCAATGATCGGAATACTGAATACAGAAGAAATTCTAGATCCTAATGAATGCTTGGTTGGTCTTTGTGATAAACGTGGGCAAGCATTAAGGCTAAGAATTAAACCAGACAGTGGAGAGTTATGGTTGGCAACAAAAGATGTAACTCATAAATTTCCACTAGCTACTATTCATGATGTAATTAGTCAACCGATTAAAGGTCATCCTGAATACCACATAATGGCTTTCCAACTTGGTCCCACTCCGAAATCCCGGTATTTTGTGTACTGGTTGCCTTCTCAATATGTGGAGTCTATTAAAACCATGGTATTACAGTATAAAATAATTAATTCTTTGAGTAATGCAACAGGAACAAATAAACCACTTTAAAATTTGCATTTTTAATTGATTCTCTGTAATTAATTAATTGGTTAATTAATTAATTATTTTCCAGATTTCAAAGATTAAGCCTAAGTATCAATTGTCCAAAAATTTTCTCAAAATGCATATTATCTCATTTTTTTCCTTTCCTTTTGGAGAAAATTATCAGCCTCTAGATTCACTTATTTCCATTATCTTAATGAGGCTTTATTTTTCATTCAATACAGAATTTCACTTTTGGTTTATCACTTTAACTGTTGACACAATATAGCAGTGTACTTATGTGAATAAAGTCAATAAAATTATGTACAATGTGTCTAAGGAGATTTCTTCACTCTTCATAGAAAAAGGCGGTATTCGATTCTGTCGACCGTAAGGTGCTTGGCCGTGAAGGGAATGCCGAGAAAGTACATTGCATTGATCAAGGCACTCACTCTACTCGAACTCATGCAGCCAGTCAGGTGGGGGCTTACGGCTAGTTGCCATCTATTCAATTTCATCACAGATGTAATAATATATTTTACCGTAACTCACTTCAGAGACTCAGGGGTTGACTTGCTACCAGACAATGATCTCGTTGACTGAGAATATGCAGACGATATAGTCCTTCTAGGCGAGGACGCTGACAAAATCCAGCAGAGTCTTCTAAACACCTTTAGCAGTGAGCAATCTACGAATGTTTGGCATGCGATTCACTCCTGCTGTCAAATTTAAGATGATGCTACAGGACTGAACTGGACTACACTGACTCCTAGTTTAGAAATAGGGGGTGAAGTGGTAGAGAACGTTGACCGCTTCACTCATTTGGGGAGTACCATTAGCCCCAATGGGTTGATCTCTGACGAAATCTCAGCACGGATACAGATGGCTAGTTTCGCATATGCCAGTTCACGCCGTCTCTGGCGTAGATGTGATATCCGACTATCGATCAAAAGGCGGGTGTACTGCTCAGCGCTGCAGTTCGCTGTGTCCTCTATGGCTGTGAAATCTGGCCGTTGAGAGTGTGAGACATGAAAAGAGTGGCTAGCTGTCTTTGATCATAGCTGAGTGCATCCTGTCTCCCGTGTGAAGTAGTGGCATAATAGGGTGAGCAATATTGAGGTTAGTCATCAGTCGAGTGCTAGGTAAGTGGGAGGGAAAATCAATCAATGAGGCTGTTAAGCTACATCGACCGAGATGGTTAGGACATGTGTTACGTATGTCTAGTCATCGCCTTCCTCGACGGGCAATGTTAGCTGACATAGGGTCAGGTTGGAAAAGAGCTAGCGGTGGTCAGACCAAAACATGACTTCGACAGTCAATGAAATCCACAACAGTTAGTTTAAGCCAGCCAGCCACGTAGGAAGGTGTAGACAGGCTTCCTGGTTGGGGTCCTCGGGACGGTAGAAACCAACGGCTGCAGACAATTGGTGATATGGCTCAAAATCGTTCTTAATGGCTGGCGCAGATGCATCCACTCCTTGTGACTTATGATTTCCAATGAAACTATATTGCTCTTCGTTATTACCATTCCTTTGTCTCACGCTTCTGTTTCCTGTCTCTATTATGCATTTCTTCTACTTTGTTCTCTTGCTCTGTGTGCTATATGGAGGGTGTGTGGCGACTTGAACGGGTGCACATCAGTGCAAAGTTCTGTGTGGAAAACAGACAGACAGACTCTTCATAGAGTCTAGTCATCTGCGCCAAACAAAGGGTTAGGTGCATGATATTAATTATACTACATCTAGTGCGCAACTTATTTTTAAGTAGTCCGATGCACTTGTAAATAGATCTATAGGTCCTCTTTTATCAATTTTTCTCGAAATGAATACGTTTATGGCAGAAGATTTACCCCCACCCCCGCCCACCTTCACCATTTTATTCAGTGCATCAATTGGTTATTTTTTTTCCCTGTTGTGTTTGGAAGTATCTGGTATTGGGCTATTCAGTGCATATTTAAAGTAAGGAATTAATGATTCAAACACTGAGTAATTCGACCTACCTGTAGGTGTTCTGAATTTTTCAACTATCCAGTTATAGGCTGATTGGAAATATCATATCTACTGTGTGCAGCTGTCAAACCTAACTTAAGAGGTCGCAGTTGTAAGTGCCTGAGCTTACCTCTAGATAGATAGGTAGATATAGGCCTTAAACGTCAGTACTAAATAAACTTCCTTGCCTTAGTGAATTCTAATTCAGTATATTACCTACCGTGTGTGTGTGCGCCCTAATATAAATTATATTTATTATAACAAGTGGGAAAACCAAAATTAACACATAGTAATATCGTGTACAACTTATTTGTCGATAGGCTCGGATAGCAAGCTTGAAGAGTGTGCTTAATGGTAACACAATGAGGGAGACAGTCACATGCAAGCAGGAAAGAAGAAAGATGGTGTAGCTTCATAGTACATGTATGCGTTAAAAACAAATGTTTAAACATTGAAGGTGCCCTACAAAGTGATCAAATTATTGTGTAACAGCACAGTTGTTCAATTACTGTGTACCATAAACGGGATGATATTATTCCCCCATGTAAATGACATGTGTGGTCCTATTATGTTGCTTTCATAGAAGAAATATCCGAAACTTGTGTAATTAAATATGATATATATTACATATATATATTCCAAATGTACTAAGGATGTAGTGTATGGCGTGTCTGCATAGCTCTGCTCGTTTACCTATTTTTACTCTCCGGTTACTGCTGAGTAATTGATTTTTAAGAGATAGTTTTTCTCATGGAGGATTTCATCATGATCTGACATTAGTTAGAGAACCATTGGAAAAACCTGCAGGGACTACTGGACAGCAAGCTGTTTCGCCAGCCCAGTTTGGGACTCTTCATCAGTACTAACCCACTGCTACGGTTCGAACCCAGGACCTTCTGATTACAAGGCTAGCGAGCTCGTATACTATTAAGCCACTGGGACCCGATCCAATGACTAGCCCATGAATTCTAACTTCTGCTAATTCACGACATAGCGCGACCATTTCGCAATATCTTATTCGATGAGTTACTACCTCACCTTCTACCTGCTGTACCCTATTGGTCACCGCTTCCCACTAGAACCCCAGGTTAACTGCCTGAACAGCAGGTTGAAGATGAGGCAGTAGCTCATTGAAGAAGACACTGCGAAATTGTCGTGAATTAGCAGAAGTTAGAATTCATGGGCTAGTCATTGGATCGGGTCCCAGTGGCTTAATAGTATACGAGCTCGCTAGCCTTGTAATCAGAAGGTCCTGGGTTCGAACCGTGGCAGTGGGTTCGTACTGATGAAGAGTCCCAAACTGGGCTGACGAAACAGCTTGCTGTCCAGTACTCCCTATTGGTCTTCCAATCTTTCTCTAACTGATGTCACCTCATGGTGAAATTCTCGATGCAATCAAACAAAATACCTACAAAACCAATGCTTGAAGATAATTTTTTATCAAGTGTTGATTTTCGGGGATTTCTCTGGTTAGAGAGTTGAGCACGAGCTGATAGATATCAGATAGAGAACCATTAGAAAACCAACAGGGAGTAATGGACATTTGTTTCATTCTAGACTGGGGCTCTTCACCATTCCACGCATTTTTTTCTTCACAAAGTAAACCAGTGTTTCGCTGAGTTAATCCCCCTCCTCGTGATATTAGTTTAATTAATTTATTATGTTATTTAAAGCTTGTAATGCGTGTGTACGAGTAAAATGATTACTAATGTGAAGGTGTAGTAAGCACAAGTTGTATTTTCTATTGTGAATAAATGTTTATACAATGAGACGAGTGATGTACATATTCAATGTACAATTTGTGTCTCAATGAAGTTAAGATTATGTGCGTAGTTCGTTAGGTGTTAGGCTATGAATTTAAAAAAAAACGAATTCATTAATTAATTATGTGATCGTCATAAAAGGTTTCGGAAGTCAATTATTCCAACTGCGTATTTGATGTGTGTCTAGCGACTTCGTTAAACATGAATGTCTGCATGATGCATATAGCTGTAAGGTGTTGTTACAGGACTCCTGGTTTAGAAATAGGGAGTGAAGGGGTTAGTGAAGCACTCTGACCGCTTCACTTATTTGGGAAGTACCATCAGCCAGTGCCAACGGGTTGATCTCTGACGAAATCTCAGCATGGATACAGAAGGCTAGTTTGGTATTTGCCAACTTACACCATCTCTGGCGTAGATGTGATATCCGACTATCGATCAAAAGGTGGGTGTACTGCTCAGCGCTGCAGTTCGCTCCGTCCTCCTTTATGACTGCCAGTGAGAACTGGCCGTTGAGAGTAGGAGACATGAAAAAAGTGGCTAGCTGTCTTTGATCATAGGTGCGTGCATCCTGTCTCCCGCGTGAAGTGGCATAATAACAGGGCGAGTAATATTGAGGTTAGTCATCAGTCGAGTGCTAGGTAAGTGGGAGGGAAAATCAATCAATGAGGCTGTTAAGCTACATCGACCGAGATGGTTAGGACATGTGTTACGTATGTCTAGTCATCGCCTTCCTCGACGGGCAATGTTAGCTGACATAGGGTCAGGTTGGAAAAGAGCTAGCGGTGGTCAGACCAAAACATGACTTCGACAGTCAATGAAATCCACAACAGTTAGTTTAAGCCAGCCAGCCACGTAGGAAGGTGTAGACAGGCTTCCTGGTTGGGGTCCTCGGGACGGTAGAAACCAACGGCTGCAGACAATTGGTGATATGGCTCAAAATCGTTCTTAATGGCTGGCGCAGATGCATCCACTCCTTGTGACTTATGATTTCCAATGAAACTATATTGCTCTTCGTTATTACCATTCCTTTGTCTCACGCTTCTGTTTCCTGTCTCTATTATGCATTTCTTCTACTTTGTTCTCTTGCTCTGTGTGCTATATGGAGGGTGTGTGGCGACTTGAACGGGTGCACATCAGTGCAAAGTTCTGTGTGGAAAACAGACAGACAGACTCTTCATAGAGTCTAGTCATCTGCGCCAAACAAAGGGTTAGGTGCATGATATTAATTATACTACATCTAGTGCGCAACTTATTTTTAAGTAGTCCGATGCACTTGTAAATAGATCTATAGGTCCTCTTTTATCAATTTTTCTCGAAATGAATACGTTTATGGCAGAAGATTTACCCCCACCCCCGCCCACCTTCACCATTTTATTCAGTGCATCAATTGGTTATTTTTTTTCCCTGTTGTGTTTGGAAGTATCTGGTATTGGGCTATTCAGTGCATATTTAAAGTAAGGAATTAATGATTCAAACACTGAGTAATTCGACCTACCTGTAGGTGTTCTGAATTTTTCAACTATCCAGTTATAGGCTGATTGGAAATATCATATCTACTGTGTGCAGCTGTCAAACCTAACTTAAGAGG